AACTATTTAAACATACTAAATGTGGATATGTCCGTGGTAACAGTTGAACTCTGGCCCACTCAAAGTTAGCAACATTTTCGGCGGGATGAAATGCCCGAGAGGAACACACTGGAATTATTTCACACCACAGCGCCTTGCAGGATGCGGCAAATCACAAAAGCCGCTGGTAAAAGAGATGGGGTGCTCAAGGATGTCACTGTGGAAAGTGAAAAGGAACCCGCTGGTCCGAACAGTCGAAGATCACTGAACAAACTGATCAGCAAAGCGCGACGGACTACGAAGAGCGCTGCGGGTCAGCGAGAGAAGATGAAAATGCAAGCGAGCAGTCGTGAAGTGTCGGATTTAGAAAAGGAAGCCAAAAGGCAGATCTTGAAGGAGGCCGAGCGAGCTGTTAAGCGTTATGAAGTTGTGGGGCCGCAGGGCTGGTGAGTTGGATCTTTCGCTAGCTTCCGAAACAGCACTTCAGTTTTTCGCTGCTGCTCTGCACTACACATTTCATTCTGATTGTCAAAATCTAGATTGGGCGAGAAATCCCCGCAAGTTTCTTCTGTGCAACTGCTAAGTCTTTCACAAAAGCGCTCTCACACTGTAGGTCCGAACACCAGTTCCAAGCTCCGATTCTTGGGCCGCAGCATCACCCTTCCCTCTCCTTTCTCCCTACGAATGTTTCGGCGTTTGCGCTTTCAGTTTGTTGCGTAAGCACTTGCCGGAGCGCTTGCGGCATAACTTCACGCACAGTGGACGGTCCTTGGCTGTAAAATTCGATTGTTTTGTATTGTTCAGTTGCATGTTTGTTGCTTGGCGTTATTCGCTGCACATTTATTTCAGGAAAATGCCAGCGTGTTTATCAACAGACAAGAAATTTTTAAAACAGGTTTTATATGGGACACTGCCGAAGAGAAGGTGCGCACTCTTGACTGTAGTACTTTAGTTTTTCCTCTAGTGAAATATCCTCTGTACGGTTTTTTTATGTAAATGCTTCGTAGACTGCTTGGACTGGATGGTTCGGATGACGAAGCCGCTGCATGCCTCTCATGGCCTCTGTTTCTGCTCCGGCTTCCCAGTTGCAACAGCTGCGTCATCTCTCCATTGTTACTCGCCACGCAATCGCTAGCATATTTCTAAAGGAGAGGGAGAGGACATATTTCGTGTTCGGAAGTCGAGGGAGAGGGACGCTTAATGGCAAAAATTGCCAGCCGGAGAGAAAGGTTCCTAGCCGAAAAATACCTTGACCTTTTGAATTCAGTGCAAATCTGTAGGAATTCAAGTCACCCAATACGACCTTTTACAGAGATATGAGGACCAAAGTTAACTCGGATTCTGCGTAGGACACATCGTCGACATCGTCCTCGCTGTTGCCATGATTCTGGGCAATTTTGAACGTTGTATTAGAATTCAGCTGGAGAAGCGAACCCAGTGACAACAAGCAGAAATGACTGGAAATGGTTACGAAGGCCGCTTCTCACAGACAGCAGATCCGATTTCACTCGTGTGCTTTTATGCTCTGCATATTACCCGAAGGCATAAATATTGAGTTATGCTTCTCGATCAAGTATATTAAACGGGAACATTTTTAGCAATACAGTTGTCGCGCAGCGGGAGTTGGCATTATGAAGTCTAAGCGCTTGTTCATTCTTGTGGTGCGTTTTTCGCTGCATTTAGATGCGAAAGTACACCACACCGAGACCGATGAGATGTGTTTCTGTTCATTCTCTGCTTTACCACATATCTGAGCTTTAGAGGAAACCAAACACAGGCTGGAACGCACCGGGCGGGCCCGTGCGATCATGCGTTTTTGCACCGGACTTGAATTACTCGGGTCAATGGACTGCATGAGTGGCTTTGCTTTACACCTACCTTTTGCGGCCACTAGCATAAATCACCATAAATTTTGCAAAGTAAATGTACAATTCCCACTTAGCAGTCGTTCTTTAAATGTAACACAGTTGTTCAGTAAGAAATTTTTTCGCCAACACTTTTAAGTGACCGTACGTAAGAACCACGCATACCTCAAGCTGAATCTGAAACACTTAAACTGTACTTGGACTGGGGACATTCTCCCAGTAAAAATTTTATGTGATGGGGTTGTTTTACGTGTGTGGATCGCTGTGTGGCGTGGTGCGTAG